GTTTGTTTAAGGACCAGTAGAATGCTGAGCTCAAACTAGCGGGAACCTTTTTCTTCGATATCTTTCTGGATGCGGACCATTACCGGATTAACCCTCGGAAACTATATGTGTATTTAGGTGTCATCTGATTCAAACGATGACCACTTCTCTCGGTGTCGGCGTTCATTACATTCATATGGCGATTCTGGGCAATCGCTGGCTTTCGTGAAGCCTATCTTTTCATAGTCCATCCAGATTCACCCGTGCCCGTGCCGCACGGGCCGTGCGGGTCTCTGATGGTTCATTCTCCTTGAATAAACTCATATTCTGTTGCGCTTCAGTCCAGAGTCAATTCTAGTTGGATGAGGGATAGTCATTCCGTGACGGAATTTCTGTCCCCCAATGGAAGGCTCCCGTGAAAAATTCTAAATTTCCCTGGGGTGGCTCCCCTTGTACCAAGAATGTGGTCGAGCTGATGAAATTGGGGAATTTATTCCCCCAAGTTCATCAGCTCGTAACTCGTGAAGTGCGCCCTTACCTATTGCATTGTGGAGCGCCTTCACACCAGTAAAGTTCGGTACTTTTCGAAGGTGAAAATTCGAAGCCTTGAAGGAGTACTTTGAGTATCTCTTCAACCTCCGAGTTTTCATACTCATTCATAATCGATGCGAGAGTTCGAAGACTGAGCCAAACGAGTACGTGAAAAGTAGAGAGACTGGTTCGGAATCCAAACTTTGGATGCTGATGCTGGCAGTAACAAAAATAATTCACTCCAGGTTTTGATCTCGTTACTTACCTCGCTAGATATCTTTTCTCCCCAGTAATAGTTGGCACGGCCAACTTGGCCCATGAACAATCATAGGGTCTACATTCGGGCTGAATTACTCGCGATGGGCACATGTCAACTTGCCCTACAACATCTACCGTAGATGATCTACGCAAACGCTCAGTCTTCGAGGTGCGGCAACTCAATTGCCAGAGATCATCAGTGTCTGTGTAATAACATAGTAATTATAGCGACACCTCAGTAAACCAACTATACTCGTTCTTGTCTGCTCACTTGAAAAAGCACTACTCGTTTCTTCCACTTGAAAAATCACGCTACTAGGGATCGAACCCGGGACCTCCCTCTCCTCACCCGAGATGCAAGTTTGGAGTCCAAACATCAAACCTCAAACTTTGAAAGCTGTGGTCGACCATGTGCATAATCCCTGCGTAGAGCCGAATCAGATAACATCTATGTTAACACATAACCCCTATTAACCCTTCAAAACCAGCCGACCATGACGGAAATCACCAACATCATATATGGGCGGCGCCGCGCCGCGCCTTTCACAACTTGCGCATGTTCTCTGCAGTGTTGCCCTTTTCCAAGGGTATGGCTGCGTTAAAGCTTACACGCGCGAGGTACCACAACGACGATCTGAGCAGTCGCCTCCAAAGGTGGTCTTATCTGTCTTGACTTATTTTTCCCCTATAGTTGGTCTACTCGTGAACGGCGCGTGGGAAGTCCAGGCCGCACAAGCTTGTGCGGAATCCTGTTTATTCGTAGCGTTTTACGGGAAGTACGCGAGTTGATCGATGTTGGTAGAGCAGAAGGACCCAGGAATGAGGGCCTCTTCTTACGGTACCATAAGGATGTGATTGGACTTCGAGTTGTAAACATCTTCTGAGGACTAACTCATCATCTATCAAGAAGATGATACAACATGACTAAGGACGGGCCAAATTCCATGAATAGCGAGTATTTTGTAATCCCGAGAGAACTTCCTTCCTCTGTTAGTCTTATCCTTTTTCTTGTGTTGGTGGAGCGACTCCCATCAACCTCATATCAAAGGCCATCCCTCCTAACGAAGCTAATACGATCGTCATGGTCCTGATCCTACCCTATATTGTTATCATTGCTCTGCTGGCTACCCATTCTGATGCTAAGCATGCCCCACCCGACGGCGAGTACTCCAAGGATCTGCCTAACTCTGCAAGTGTGGGAGCACTTTTTGACGATGATCCGGACTTGCCATACACGGTCGCCCTGCTAATCCGCTGTGCGCAGGCTCCGCGCGGAGTTGAGTCACCGCCTCTGGAGCTTGAGTCTAGTAACTATGTATATACCATATCTGCATCCGAAAGGAGGCAATACCGTGATTTCTTTGCACGAGCAGCAAGGAAGTGTCCGGGCTTGCTGATTGATGGAGACCTCAAGCGCTTTTTCTACAATCCTAAAGAGGATGCGGTTGAAACAAAAGTGAAGGGCAAACTTGTGACTCTGGATAAGTCCCCATTGTGAAGGTATGAGAT